CCCCTTTTAGGTTTCTCCGGAACGTGGCCATGGAGACCCCACCGAGTGGCCGGCCACAGACAGACTGACCGCTGTCCACTCCGGAACGACGGGGCGCTTGTGGTTGACAACGTAATTATTAATCCAGGCCGTCAACGCGCTGTCCTTGATTGATTTCCGCGAACGGCGAGAGGAGCGGCGAAGTGGACTCCATAGAAGTAGGAAACAGACAGATGACACAACCCCGGAAAACTCGTTGGCCCACTATTTACGAAAAAACATGAACAGATACATGTTGTGCTTTGTTAAGTGGTTTCGTTTCACATATTTCCCAACGCAGAATTATTTTATGCTAATAAAGCTAGATCTACATCTAAAGTTGTTTTTGTTTCAAGCGAAAACCTTGAACTGTGAATGATATTTAGGAATTCAGATAACACAAAAAACCCAAAGGGCAATCAAGGACACCTGTAATCGTGTATATTAAATAGGCATTTATTCTTGTCATTTCGTGCCTTTTCCACCGAATAAAAGAAGAACTCGGGTCCATGATTCTTAACTTTTGCCAGGGTTGACACTCCAGTGAACGGATCAATTCATCTTCTACGCACCTCACTTCACGGCTGCTGATTGTATCCCTGGCCCGCACAAACTGAGACTCGTGCTCGTAACTTTTCGTCACACAGCTAATATTTATAATTTTGCAATAAATGGAGTGTGTCAACGGCAGTATAATGGTAACTATGCCTGCGTGTCACACGGGAAACTTGTGATTCGATCCCCAGCCTGGGAGGGTTATTTTTGTCTTCATATTCATAGAGAAGACTGAAACAGAGAGAAGAAAGAAGAATAACACACAGAGGCTGATTGAAAAGAATGAATCAGAAAGGCGGACAGAGAAAAAGAGAATTTATTTCATAAATTTAATACAATGAAGAAGAATATTTTTATACAGTCTGCAATCCCTTCAATGCTAATTAGATATTATTCAGTTCGTAGAAAAGAGTTTTTGCTAATGATTATAATTATCTAAAGAGCCACGGGCTCCAATTCAACGCTCGTCTCCGATTTTATTCATGCGATGTCACTGTTTTTAAAGATTTCGCTATCAACCGGTATTGAAGAACGACAAAGTTATTGAATATCAGGAAGGATATTGTTATTTCGAAAAAAAAACACCCCAAAATCTGGTAGGTTGTCTGTCTTTTTCAAACTTCTGTGTACGACCACAGAATGGACACTACAGCTGTGTGAATGCATCGTGCATGGCCACCCGACGATCACTGACAGCACAGGCAATAATTATTCCTGTGATAGGGTTGAAGGAAAGGTTG